AACTAAAACAACTTTGACAGCTGTCAACTCGTTGCTGCGTGATGTGTTATAAAACCGTTTAAAAAACGGCTTATCAAGATATTATGCAAGCGCACTACTGACACGATGAAAATGACAGCAATGAGATAATGAGATCGATTTTTTATTTATGTTCTACATTTGTACTAATGACAAGGGCAATATATTTTTGTACGTTTATTCCACCAATAGCGAGATCTCGATAATTAAATGTTAATTATACTAGTATAGTATTGTATTATCTGTGATTATTCGTACAGAATATATTTAATTAAAGCGATTTTAATCCTAAGATTCAATTTGTAGGTTAGTTTTGTCAATTCTAACGTAAGTAAATCAGAAATCGAATAATATAAAAACTAGGAACCAGTTCGTATTTAACGAATCGATAAAATCATTAGTCCAGTTGAAAACCTGATTACTAATCATTAAAGGTGAACAAGGTTTTAAAAAACTAACTCCTTTTAGTTTGTTGTTGTTTATTTGCTTAGAGTTCGTACACAACCAGTGCTACATGTTTTTTGTTGTAACCGAAACAAGTATAAAAGCATTTAATTAGAATTATTAACAAACTTTTAAGAACACATTTAAAACGCTCTAAATTGAATATTTTTCTTAATAATCTGCAATATTTCAAACAATTTTAACAAATTATTATGATAGTCGAAATATACAAAGTGGAATACGAAACCGGCAAAGAGTAACGTTATTAGTTATTAGGAAGAATATTAAAATACTTGATCAAATCAAAGAGTAACTTGTTACTTGTATTAATTTATTTATTGTAATGTTCCAAGAGAAATGAAGTCCACAACTCATGTGTGTGTGTGTGTGTGCGTGTGTGTGTGTGTGTGTGTCACGTGCTTCTTTATTTAAAACAATGGGTGTTTATGTTGTATTGTAAGACATAATTGTCCGATTTTATTCTCATTCGAAATGGTGAGGATCTAATTCTGCGTAACTTATTGTTGTGGAACATTCCAGAGTAGGAAAAGAATACAATTGACAAAATCTTTAGCATAATTTTCATGAGCGTCGCCAGAGAGTAGGGTATTTACTTCAAAAATATACAATAACTATAAAAATTATTTTAAAATCGACAAAATATTAATGACAGTTTCCCTAGACTAGGCCATTTTAGCAAATTGGTTTTTATTTTATTTTTAAACTAGCTGTTCCCGTGCGACTTAATCCGCATGTAGTTATGAAAATTTTATTTCAAATTATCAATTACAAATGTCAAAATGACATGATGACAACCTTGCTTTCTTGATGTTGGCAGCAACTTATGGTCTCTTTCCCACATTAGGCTTTTTATCCAAAATATTTACCCCCTAAGTTTAATGGCGTTAAAATAAATAGCCTAAAGCGTTACGGAAGTGTAAGGCTTTTTATTATTAAAATAATTATTTAAAAATATGCTGTAATTGCTGACATCTTAGGCAACAAGAAATATATGTTTACGCTTTATTATAACAGTATACTATTTAAATTTATTTCTTATTATTATAATTTGTCATTATCACCGTATCGTACACTGTTTTAAACGAATTATTAGCTATGGCATCAGTCACGGTGTACTGCAACCGTGACAAATAACCTCTGTTATCAAGTTAACTACACCGCAAACTGCTTGATTATATGCTTCACTTCACTACCTTGCCATTAGTGCTCTCCCACAACATAAAAAAACACTATTTGTTAGTTAAAAAATACGAATCGAATGATACCTCTAAAGTCATACGTTCAATCGTCAAAACTACAGAAGGTGAAGGGCCTATCCCACCACTGGCTGATAGAGGCTCAGATAGCTTAAAAATGACGTCCTTAAACGTCAGATAAGGGAGCAAAATGCGATAATTTCATCATATATTTGTATATGTTGGATTGTTATCAAGCAATTTACAAGGCTCTAAATCTGTTGTAAGTGAATTCAAACCCAGATGCGTCGCCAATCGATTACCTAGGCTAGGTCTAGGGAGAGTAACATTGACAAAACGTCGCCGTAGGCATCTGTCCATGTATAAATCTTCAGATTTAAAAACATAAAGTCTTGTGAAAAACAGTACCCCTAGTCAGTCGGGTTAAATATTGTCCATCCCTCTTATTTTGCATAATAAAAATGAGACAACCATATCTTTTAGTGTCCCGACAGTCAAGTTCTTAAATATACTTTAAATTAGATTTCTTTACACGTGAAACTCACGTAATGTTCCGAAAGAGGAAATCTCCTAACATTCACGTAGCCGAAACTTGACGTGGGTGACCTTCGACATCTGATGATGCAGAGGCCTTTAGTGGTTTTCCTCGTAATTGACGTGACCACACAACGACAACACTAAATTACTTATTAAGTAGCAGGCAATTTTTATTTGATATTCGTAACCAACTTTACCGTTATTCTTGCGAATTATTTTTTAGAACTACGACAATATTTTGTCTTGAAAATTACGAATACGTTTTGTACTTAACGAATTGTTTTGTGATATTTATAATTTAGTAAATACAAGATAATAAGACACTAGCTTTCGCCTGCGATTCCGTCCGCGTGGGATTAAATAACAAAAGTCAGTAGCGTATTTGTTCTTCCAGACTATCCACTACAGTTTAGGAAGTTTTAATAGAAAGGATTTGTGACCTTCAATAACGAATAAAGAAAGATTTAGTCTAGAATATTCGAAATGTTTCATAGAAACAATTAAAAAATAAAAAAGGCATTAGTGTTCCTATAGGAGCGGAATACATTTGCGGATTTGTTATTTTAAAAATTATTTTATTTTAAAAGTTATAGAATATTTAAGCGTAACTCCAAAGAAACGCAACAAACAACACTCAAACATCAAGATAATATAATACGTAGACAGGTAATTTACCAGTAAAAATCCTTCACAATGTCTTATTTACAATACGTTTTGATAATAATAGAGACGAAATGAAAGATAAATCAAGAGGGTCGCGTTTAAACAAATGCAAACTGGATTCAGACTTGGTCAAATTATACGGGAACCTTTGAGATTACAGGTTCACCCTATTTCATATTATGTTGAAATAAGAACATAGTAGACGTAGAGGTAGACCTAGAAAGAAATGGATTGCGTAAAAGGAGAGGCGTGCGTAAAAGAATTAAGTGGAGGACAAAAACCTGTTGCGTCGAACCTACGGGAATAGGATCAGGAGAAAGATGATGATTGAAATAAGTACATATTCTTGTGATAGGATAGGGTTTCCACTGTTACAAAAAGAAGCAAGAAAGTTTTTGCACAACTCTTAATGTATTGAGACGGTTACTTTAATAATTCTAGAGTAATTCGTTGTAATGAACTATGTATTGTTATCATGACGTAAATCTTTCAAAAAATGTATTGAAATCTAACGTTGTAAAATGTCTTCAACATAATATAACG